GCCATAGCTGACCCTTCAGTGAGTATTCAGAGGCAGTTAATCATTGGGAGGAGATTGCACATCCTTCTCCAGTGGAGCCGCTGGTGGATTTGAACTATGTGCTTTGGGGTTTACAGTAAGGCTTCTTACCAATAGACCAACAGGGCTCCTTTTAGTGCTAGAGCTGGGCAGCAAATTTTTCTGTAGTGTATGCACAGGGTCACTATAAACCTCACAACGACCCAAGAATGTTGAAGATTGTTTATGGCAAACCTCCGACTCCTAGATTAAACTGAGAGATAAATGGTGTACTCTGCACTTACTCTGAAGAATATGGGTCCTCTGTGAGCAGGAGAACTTGCTCCTTGGAAAGTAACACTATCTCATATTCCATGTCCCAAGAGCAACTCTGCACAGTGTGGAGTTTTTCTTGCATATCTGGCATCTCTATCACATCTGTGTCAGAGAGTCAAGAAGCAGAACCTTATTATATCAGGAAAACTGGAAGTGAAAAAAGAAAACTACATACATACAGATCAATATCCTAGACAATAATGAGTCAGAACAAACTAGCATGGACTGTTTTGAATTGGACAAGCATATGGTCTATTATAAAAAAAAATAGAAAAACTGAACATTAATGCTGACAATGAATTTATCATCCCAAGAGACATGTTTAGATCTACCCTGAAGTACAATAGTTCCAGGGATAGAGTATTATCCATATAAGGAAGACCAGTTAGATCTGAGATTGCTGCTTAAATATATGGATCAAATGCTAACACTCAAAATGAATAAATTGAAATTTTCTACCAACTTCTACAGTTTGAAACTGACTGAATATATAATAAATATGAATGAAAATCCCAGAACACCTGATTGTGCTCATGCAAAACCTGTAATTAGCCAGGAAATAGTCATCATAACAGAGCAAGGAAACATTGCATAGTCCAAAATCAGGAAAGAAGTGACTCAGGAATGAGCCTTGTCTCCATACCTCTCCAATATAAATGTGGAATAAATCATCCAAGAGGTTGGTCTTTGTAAGGAGGAATGTGGTATCAGAATTGAAGGAAGACTCATCAGTAAATTGTATGATGTAGATGACACAATCTTGCTGACTGAAACTGAGAGGACCTGAAGCATCAGCTTCAGAAGTCAAGGAATGCAGACTTCAATATGGATTGAAGCTCAACATCAAGAAAACAAATATTCTCACCACTGGGCCAATTGACAGCACTATGATAGGTGAATAAGATATTGAGATTTTAAACAAATTTAGCTGTATTAAGGCCACAATTAATACTCTTGGAATCAGCAGACAAGAAATCAAAAGACAAATTGGTTTAGGAAAGTCTGCTGTTACGGACCTTTCCAGGGTGCTGAAGAGAAAAGATGTCAGTCTAGAGACTAAGGTCACCTGATTTAGGCCATGGTCTTCACAATAACTTGTTATGCATCAGAGAGCTGGATAATAACTACGGATAGAATTAATACCTTTGAGCTGTGGTACTGGGGAAGAGCATTTAACATACCATGGACTGCCAAGAGGACAGACAAGTCTGTATTGGAGAGGGTGAAACCAAGTTGCTCTCTGGAGGCAAGGATTTTGAAGCTCCATCTCACTTCTTCGGGCATATTGCCAGGAGAGACCATTCCTTAGAGAATGACATCCTTGCTTAGAAAGGTGGAGGGACAATGCAGGAGAGGAAGACCTTGGATTAGATGTATTGAAACAGTGTCTAAGTAATAGGGGCAAGTGTGTCATAGATAGTGAGATTGGTTTATATTAGGACAAATTTCAGAGCTATTGTCCATAGGGTTGATGTGAGTTGCAAGGCAACAATGGCACATAACAACAATAACAATAACTTATAACTAATCATTGGAATGCAAAGTTGGAAACAAAAAAAGGATCAGTAAATAAGGACTTGTTGACTGAAAAGAGGACCAAGATTCCATGGAAGAATTCTGTATGACTAATGATTTGTTGATTGCAATTACCTTTTTAAAAGCACACAATTCCCCCATACCCATTAATATCTATACAGATGGATCTTGGCTGAAACCAGAGGATACCACAAATATATTTATATTTCATTAACTAAATAAAGGCATAACAATCTATGGATTATAACAAATTAGGGAAGAATTTTGAAGAATAGTAATTTCAGAAAACAAATACATAATTTTACTCAAGGGGAACATGTATATATACACCGGGAAGGACAAATATGACTAAGTAATAAGGAAGCTCTCGTGGCCTAGTAGCAAGAAGCTGTGCTGCAATCCTAAAGGCTTGAGGTCTGTATTCACCAGCTGCACTGTGGGAGAAAGATGAGCAATCTCCTCCTGTGTGATTAACTGCCTCTCTAAACCCGTCAGAGGGTCAGTTATGCATCGGTTCTGACTCTACGGTACACAACAACAAAAATGACAACAAACGTCATAAAATAAGAAAGTGTCTATATAAGATGGATCTTGGCTGCAAGCAGAGGACATCACAAAAATATCTTATTAACAAAGTGTGAAAAAATTTTAAAGACAGGAATTTCAGATAACAAATACATAATTGTGCTCAAAGGGAACTTGTCCAAGAAGGACAAATACGAATTATGTCTTAAAATAAGGAAAACAAAAATTCTCATGACTGAGACAATAAAGCAAATCATGCTTAATAGAGAAAATACTGAATCTGTCAAGGATTTCTTTTTTCTTAGATCCCAAATTAGCATACACGGAAGTAACTGTCAAGAAACCAGATGATGTATTTTGTTGGCAAACCTGCTACAGAGGACTTCTTTAATGTATTAAAAGCAAAGATGTCATAGTTGCACTTAAACATACAAAGTAGGCCAATGAGAAGACTCAATGCCATTAGGTATAGTGGTGGCAAAAAATATTAAACATACAATAAACATCCAAATGAAAAAAAAATATGTCTTAGGAAAAATGAAGCCAGAATGTATCTTTGGGCATCTTAACAAGAGAACATAGTCCCTGGGAAGAAAAACTATGCTTGGTGAAATAGAAGGTTTTAAGAAAAGAAGAAAACTCTTAGTGAAATTAATGACCTCAATGTAAGAAGCCATTTAAATATTTAGTGATCATGAGAATCAGGCATTTCCCTTTATTGTACATGAGTCCCTATGATCTGGAGTTCATTCAGTGACACCTGATAGCAAAACTATTGAAGCTGTCAATGATTTCATTTTTCTTAGATCCATGGTCAATATCTTTGATACCAGCAATCAGGAGATAAGGAGACCTATTACATTAGGAAAGTCTACTGGCAGGGATGTCTTCAAATTACTGAAGAGCAATGGTTTCAGTTGGAAGACTAAGATACACCTAATTAAGATCATGCTCTTTTCTGTCACTTTCTATACATCTGAGAGCTGATTATGACAAGAAAAAGAATTGATGCCTTTGAATGGTGATGTTGGAGAAGAGTAGAAGATATCTCATTGACTAGCAAAAGAATAAGCAGATATATCTTGAGAAAAGTACAGCCAGAATGTTCTTTGGAGGCAAGGGATGGCAAAATTTCATCTCACATAATTTGGACATGTTGTTGGGAGAGGTTATTCCTTTAAGTGGGACTTCATGCTTGGAGAAGTGGAGAGTCAGTGAAAGAGAAGAAGATGTCCACTGAATTATATAAACACAGTGACCCAAGTGATATATTCATGCATGTTAAAGATTATGAAGATGGCACAGGTAGGACAGAATTGAAATCTGTTATTCATAGGATGTCTCAGAGATGTACTCAGCAGCACCTAACAACAACAACAAATGGAAAACAGAGTGCTTGATTTTGAGTCTCTGAAAATTCTTTAATATTTTTGTGTGTTTATTCCATGTAGGCCATTCAACTTTGCTTTCCTGTGGAATAGCTTTCTTTCTGTCTTTTGAACTCCTGTCACTCAATAGAGTATATGCATGTGAATTAGGCTAATTAGATATCAGAATAATCTTGTAAGTCTGTTTTTTTTCCCAATAAACTTGTTAAATTGATAAGGGAAGCAATTAGTGTTTCTAGGTAGTCAAATACTAACCCTGAATATTCCATGAAATATTTTGCTCTTTTTGTGTTTAGGACTATCGGTCATAACACACTATGAACAACAGTTCAACACTTTATTCTACATAGTACTCATGATCTCTGCCACGCTCAATCAAGCCCACTCTTGCAGTCCCTGTGTTAATTCATCTCATTGATAGTCTTACTCTCCTTTGTTGACCTTCTGTACTTTCCTAGCATAATGTCTTTTACCAAGGTCTAGTCTCTCCTGACAACACATCTGAAGCTTATGAAACAAAGCTTCACCATCTTTGCCTCTAAGGAACACCTTAGTTTCACTTTCCCCAAGACCAATTTGTTTGTTTCTTTGACAGTCTATGATATAGTCAATAGCCCTCATGAACACCATAATTCAACACCGTCCATTCTTCTTCAGTCTTTCTTATTCATTGTAAATCTTCCACATTCATTTGAAATGATAGAAAGTACTGGGATTGAATTAAGAACATATTGGTCTTTAAAGTGAAACCCTTGGTCTTTAGCAGTTTAATGAGGTTCTTGACACCAGATTCACCCAACACATCTTTCTTTAGGCTTCTTAACTGCAGTCATTACTCTTTTCATATAGTGATATAAAACTAATAATTGGACCAATGTCCACAAAATTTACAAAAAATAATTCATTATTTTACCACATACTATTCTACATGCTAGGTAATTACTTTTTGTATGTCCCATTATTTAATATATTTCTGGGGAAGAGGGGAAAAAAGTACCATTACCTATTCTAGCATTTAAATTATGGGACGTGATACCCTACTACAAATGTTCTGATGTAAAAAGAGTTGTCTTAGAATAAAAACTGTAGCACTTAACTCCATTTTTGCATGTGCCTGTGATGTATGTATATGACACTTGCTGAAATTTATTATCTTAAAACAATAAGATGTAAGAAAGTAAATGCAAATGTACTTACACTATATTGTTTTTCTTTCAGCAACCACCCACCGAACTTGAATTTGACCGTGTAGTGATTTATACCACTTGCCTTCGTGTGGTACGAACAACGTTTGAAAGATGTGAATTGGTTAGAAAGATCTTCCAAAATCACCGAGTAAAATTTGAAGAGAAAAACATAGCTCTGAATGGAGATTATGGAAAAGAGTTAGATGAGAGATGCCGACGGGTTTCTGAAACGCCATCTCTTCCTGTCGTGTTCATAGATGGCCATTACCTTGGGGTAAGTACTCTGCTCAGACAAATATGCCTTTTTATTATTTTTTCATTAAACTCAACCACAGGATATATAAATCAATAAACCGATGAGAAGGCAACCTGTGACGGAAATATGAAGAAACTGTTTTTCACAGAATGAACCAAAAGATTGAAAATATTTTTTCTACCCCAAACAATATGCTGCAACACTGCTCATCTCTACAGAAGCACTTGAGAAAAAGTCAGCATGAAATTGCCTTGTGACTACAAATACATCATTTTAAAAAATTCTCAATTACTTGAATTTTGTATTTTAAAGATTGGCTTGTGGGATGAAAACGGATTTTTTTTTTAAGTCCAGGCAAGGAGAATGGAAGGTTTATAAGTTAAACAATTGTGAATTCTCTTAGATTCTATTATCTAACACTCAGTTTCCGACCTAATGAACCGAAGATGACAGTCTTGAAATGAAATCAATATGAAATGAGACCCTATAGTAAGAATTTTATTCGCTTGTTGTTTAAAATGATCCTTGATCTTCACAGTGCTGCAGTGTATGATGAGCTTTGGCTTTCTGTAAGCAGAGAACTCCCAGTGTAGCAACTAAACACACCTGCTTTGCATCTTTTTAAAACCTGATTGCATGATTAGCTCCAATTGGCTATAAACAATGCTCAGTCCAATCAGAAGCCAAGGAACGAGTTTTGAATGGTGCTCTTTCAAATGAATAAGAGTAACCTACTGAGAACTCAAGTGGTTTGAAAGGATAAGGATTATTGTATGACCAGTTATCACAGAATAAAGGACTGTCACCAGCAGATTCTTGATTCTTGATTTTATTTAGCTTGGTATAACCTTAGCTTTCAGGGAAGACTGAACATATTCAGAAGAGGAGTTATTTTTTTAAATGCAAATTGTTTTCTGATATCTGTCTAGACCTATGACTGTGAGAGGCAAGCTGTCATTTTATGGAAATAGAAATGCAGAGAAGCTAAGATTCATGTGTAATGATTCTTATGTGATATCCCTTAGAATCAGATCTTGGAAAAGATAACATTCTACAGCAGAGGTATTTGGGCCTCTTTTAAGTAATTTCAACATATAATCATGCTGTTGTTGTTGTTGTTATGTTCTGTCATTCTGTGATTCATAGCAACCTTTGAACCTGTGACCCATATAGCACTTCTGAACCCTGCCTTGTCCTGAGCTAATTTCAGTAATTTTGACACACCAACCGCCATTGCCACAGCTACTGTATCAATCCATCTAAACCAGGGGTATTTCTCCCTCCCCTGTCCCTTCACCCTTCCAAGCATGATGTCCTTCTCCAAGGACTGGTCCCTCCTGGCCATGTGCCAAAAGTATATGAGACAGAGTTTCAAAATCCTAGCCTCTGAGGAGAAACTTGATTTAACCTTCTCCAAGACAAACATATTTGTTTGCATGGCAGTCCATTGTTTGTTCAAGATTCTTCTCTAGCACCAATTTGAAGTATTGACTCTTTTTCTGTCATCATTAGTCGTTGTCCAGCTCTCTGATGCATAGCAAAGAAATTGCAAAGACCATGGTCTAGAGTAGGTTCACCTTAGTCTCTCGTTCCATTATTGTTTTTCAGAGAGGCCTCTGGAGAGGTTTCTGACAGTAGCTTTTCCCAATGCAATTTGTCTTTTGATTTTCTTACTGCTGGTTTTAAGAATGTTGATTGTGGAGACAAGCAACCTGTAATTGTTAACAACCTCAATCTCTTCTCTATTTATCATGGTGCTGCCAAATTATCCCAGTGGTGAGAATCTTTGTCTTCTTGATGTTGAGCTTAAATCTATATTGAAGACTACAGTTCTTGACCTTCTGCAGCAAGAACTTCAGGTCTTCTTCATTGTAAAAAAAAACATGGTTGTGTCATATGCATGACATAGGTTGTTGATGAATCTACCGCCAATTTTGATGATGCCACATTCCTCATCATAAAGCTCTGCTTCCCAAATGATCTGTTCTGCATATAGGTTGAAAAGGAATGGAGATAGTCTGCAACCCTAACACACTCCTTTCCTATTTTGAAACACACAGTGCTTCCCTGCTCTGTTCTGAGGACTGCTTCCTAGTCCACGTATAAGTTTTGCATAAGCACAATCAAGTGTCCTAGGATTTCGATTTTCCTAAAGTTAGCCTTGAGAAATCACAACTTATTGTGACCCACACAGTCAAATACCTTTGTATAGTCAATGAGACACAGATAGAGATTCCCCTGAGACTCTTTGCTTTCTGCAAAGATCCATCTGACATTGGAAATAATGTCTGTAGTGTCATGACCTCTTCTAATCCCAGCTTGTATTTCTGGTAGTTCTCTGTCAATGTATTGTTTCGGCTATTTCCAGATAATCTTCAGCAGGATTTTGGTAGTATGTTAATGTAAATCAAAGAAGGTTAAATCACGTCCACATAAATAAAAATTTGACCTTGAGTCTGTTCCCCCTAAATTTAAGAAACCGACTCAGAAACATTAATGAATGAAGACCAGATGAATTGTGGAAAGGTATCAAGAATATCATTCATGAAGAATGTAACAAAGAAGAAAGAAGAAGAAAAGACCAAACTGGATGTCAGAAGAGACTTTAAATACTGTACTAGAGCACCAAAAAAGCCAAAGCAAAGGGAAGAAATCAAGACATTAAGGAGCTAAATAGAAGATTTCAAAGGGCAGTCAGGAAGACATGACAAAGTATTATAATGAAATATGCAAGGAGTTGGAGTATGAAAATCAAAAGTTCCAAACTTACTTGGCATTTCTTAAGCTGAAGATAACTAAAGAGCACATTCAAGTCTCAAGTTGAAATGCTTATGGATGCTACAGGCAGAATATTGAATGATTCAGGAAGCCTTAAAAGAAGATGGGGAAGTATACAGTCATTGTACCAAAAAGAAATGGCTGACACAGAAAATTTCAAGAAACAACATATAATCGAGAGGCAATGTTGATGAAGGAGGAAGTTCAGGCTGTTCTGTAGGACTTGGCAAAAAAAATAACTCAGGAATTGATGGAATACCAATTGGCATATTTCAGCAAACGAAGAGTAACAATATCAATCTGGAGACTAAGGTGCATCTGATCCAGGCCATAGATGACTTGCTATGCATCAGAAAGTTGAATAATGACTAGGGATGATAGAAGGAGAATTGGTCCCTTTGAGCTGTGATGCTGTAGGAGAGTACTGAATATACTATGGGCTTCCTAGAGAGGTATGGCACCAATACCCTGGACTATACCTATAGAGGGTGAAAACAGGCTGTTTCTTAGAGGCAAGGATTCTGAAGCTTTGTCTGACATACTTTGGACATGTTGTAAGGTGTGACCAGTCCTTGGAGAGGGACATCATACTTGGAAGGGTGGAGGGACAGTGCAAGTTAGGAAGACTCTTGATGAGATGGATTGATTCAGTGACTGGAGTGATAGTGGTAGGTGTGTCAGAGACAATAAGGCAGGTACAGGATAGAACAGGGATCAGAACTGTTGTACATAGAGTCAGTATGAGTCATAAGTGACTCAACAGCATATAACAACAACTTTATGTAAATAATACAATAATACTATATATTGTATAATGTTGTTGTTGTTATTGTGTACTATTTAGTCAGAACTGACCCATAGTTGACCCTTCAGTGGATTTTCAGACAGTTAATTGCATAGGAGGAGATTGCCATCCTTCTCCAATAGAACAGCTGGTGGATTCGAACCACTTACCTTCAAGATTGCAGCACAGATTCTTACCACTATACTACCAGAGCTCCTATTTACATACAAACTTACATGTTTTACTTTCTCCTAGACTTAGGATTTTTGTTTTTGTTTACCATCAAATCAAAACTGACCCATTGCTGACACCCTCCAGCGGGTTTTCAGAGGCAGTCAATTGCACGGGAGCAGCTAGTAGACTCAAACTGAAAACCTTTGGGATCGAAGCACAGCTTCTAGTTTTAGAAAATGACTCATTTGTATGGAAAAATGGAGTAAGATATTTACTTCAAATTCCTAATATTTACCATGTTGTTCACTGGGATGTTCACAGCAAATAAGGTATGATCCTGAATCTAATCTATCTGAATTTCAATATCATTTTAGGAATAGGTTTGAGGCACAGAACATCAATGATCAAAGACCAGATGACTTGTGGAATGATATAAAATATATCATCCATGAAGAAAGCTAAAGGTCATTACAATAACAGAGGAGAAAAACATATACACCACAAAATGGATGTAAGAAGAGATTCTAAAAATTGCACTGGAGTGTTGAAAAGCCAAAACAAAAGGAAAACTACCTAAATAAAAGAGCTGAACAGAAAACTCCAAAGGGCAATTCAGGAGGTCAAAGAAAGATATTATAATGGAATGTGCGGTGAGGTGGAATTGGAGAATAAAGAGAGAAGGATTCCCTCTGCATTTCTCAAGCTGAAAGAACTGAAAAACGTATTTTAAACCTCAAGTATTAATAATGAAAGATGCAAAGAGCAAAAAATTCAATTACCTAGAAAGCATCACAGCTTCTCTATCCATTCATTTGTTGATGAGCACTTGGGTTGCTTCCATCTCTTTGCTATTGTGAACAACACAGCAATAAAGATGGGTATGTGTATATCTGTTTGGGTGGGAGGTCTGGTTTCTTTAGGGTATATTCCCAGTAGTGGAATTGCTGGGTCAAATGATTTTTCCATTTCCAACTTTTTGATAAAGTGCCACACTGCCTCCTAGAGTTGTTGCACCATTTTACATTCCCATCAACAGAAAATAATGGTTCCAATTTCTCCACAATCTCGCCAGCATTTTGCTGCACTGTTGAATTTTGCTAATGTTACTGGAATGAGATGATATCTCATAGTTGTTTTAATTTACATCTCTCTTAGAGCTAGGACTTTTGAACAATTTCTTCATTTTTTTGTTCGTCATCTGAAAGTATTCTTTGGTGAAGTGTCTGTTCATATCCAGTGTTCATTTTGGGATTGTGTTGTTTAACTATTATACAAAATTGGT